ATAAATTGCATCATTTCGCTTGACAGCTGATGGAGTGTCAAGTGGTAAATATGAAATAATATTTATTTCAGGTACTTATATAGCACCGTCAATTTACGCAGCGCGCTTTACACATATATAATGTACATTCACGTCAATCCCTAACCCTCAAGGGGTTATTATAAAATATCGAATATCTATCTGATTAAAAGGATATTTCTAATACTAAACATAATAGATAAGTACTGTATATACAGAAACACCACACATTCCCTTAGGCTACATTCAAAGCTGATTATTTTAAACAATAGTTTATTTTTTAAATTCATTTCTCTATGAGTATCCTTGAAGTGTTTTTGCAGGATTGATGCAGGTTTCTATAATAGCACTTGACATAACTTCTACTTATCTAACAAGTTTTATGTATGGTGTGACCTTAAATACATATGTGCATTGCTTTGTGGAAAATGTATTCATTATTTCAAAATCCATTGAAGCAATGAGAAAGATTGACTTGTTGAGGGATATGTTAGAAAATGGCATTACTTATCATTCTATGGTTGTTTTTTTAGTTTACCAATACAGAATGGCGATATGCATCAGTTCCTATTATGCAGTTTAAACAAGGTTTCAGTAAATATTTATATAAAAAAAAGTCTATTTAAGAAGAAAAAAAAATACTTCTAGATACATTCTACATGGCATAGTAGTACATGGCTTCAGCTACAAAAGCCAGCAAAGGCCTGGTAAAGCATGAAAGGCAGTAGCTGTAAATGTGCTGAGCTTTAAAGCAAGGCCATACTGATCTCTGTAGCTGCCTGCACAGTGGAGAAATGTATTCTCAAACTTCAGACCAGAAGCATTGAACTTCTCCAAGTCATACTCTCAGCAGTTTTTAGTCACCAATGTAAAAGAAAGCAGGTGATCTGTGAGGGAGGGGGAACGAGGTGAGCTGAGCTAGAGGTTAACTACTTCAGTGGTTCTGTTGTGAACTGACAATAAATTGCTCTGACAGTAACTGCAGATGACATTGAGGGCTTGTTTACTAATTGTTAAGAATGTATAAATACTCGAAGGGCCATAGCCTGGTCAGAGATTCATTTTAAAGTGATAATGTTTTTGTCGATGAAGGGCAAACTAAATCGTTCAATTAGCTCCTTCTCTTACGATCTGCATATACCACAGGAAAAGGCATGTCTGAATGGGACTTTACAGGCATTCAGAGTATTCACACATGTAAATTCATAAAAAAAATATTTTGGTTGACAAATATTTTAAAAGCTAGTAACACGTGTATAGGTAAAAAAAATGCAAAAGGCTGACAATATGAATATATGATCATAACTGTTACTTACTGATCTTTATGTCCCCCAACGTGTTTCAGCGAGAAGACAATTTGTTCACATTGAAAAACATACAACATAATATAACAAAGGTCAATATTACATAGTCTACATATCAGAGAGTGCAGGTGAACATCACAATGAACTTACAACACCCATGTATTCTTATGTACAGTATGTGTCAGCCAATAAAAACTGCTATGTTAAAAAGTTGTGGTATGATCCCCTCAGTGAATCCCGGAGTCCTTTCCATCAACAGAATCTATGGTGCTCTCGAAAAACACCCGTAGCAAACCCCAGAGTCCTCTCCATCAACAGAACCTATGATGCTCTCTGACACACTTTCGGCGAACCCCCGGAGTCCTCTCCATCAACAGAGCCTATGGTGCCCATAGATTCTGTTGATGAAAAGGACTCCATGATTTGCTGAGAGGACTACAACTTTTAACTTAGGAGGTTTTACTGGATGACACATACATAAGATTACATGGGTGTTGAAACTTCATTGTGAAGTTCACCTGCACTCATTGATATGTGGACTATGTAATATACCTTAGACTATTGTTATATTATGTTGTATGTTTTTCAGTGTGAACAAACTTTCTTCTTCCCTGAGGAAGAAAACATTTTTGAAATACTTTGGGAACATAGAGATTTGTATATAACAGCTGTAGTATGATTCATATTGTCAGCTTTTTGTGTTTTTTAACCTATACAGGTTTTACAAGTGTAGCGCTACCTACCCGTGTAGCACCCCCCCCCCCCCCCCCCCCCCAAGGAGCTGTTGTACACTGAGAACATGGGTAAAGGTACCTTTTAACTTGGATGTGATTTAGTACCAGGAAATAGACTCAAGACCATTTAGTGGTAAATTATGGGGGCTATTTAAAAAAACTGGAGAGTGCAAACTCTGGTGCACCTCTGCATAGAAACGCTTCCAGGTTTTATTGTCAAAGATTAATTGAAGAAGCTGAGGTTAGAAGCTGATTGGCTACCATGCACAGCTGCACCAGATTCTGTGCGCTACAGATTTAGTAAAGCTCCTCAATGTATTGGTATGTCTTAGAATAAATAGTGGTTTGAGCATGAATAAACACACAGAAGGTAGGTTCAGACAGTTTGCTGAACAGTGTAATCACCAAGCCAAGGTAACTTAGAATAGAGTTCTGTATGACTAGATGAGAATTAATTCAAGAATCAGCAAAGTCAGCAATAAACAGTGCATATACGCATTAGCTGCAAAGTGAGGAAGAAGGAGAATGGTTAAGACATGGTGCCCCTGAGAGGTACCTCTTAGCATAAGCAACAGGCGAAGGTCTTCATGTAACAGATGTAAAGGGACAGTCTTTAGTCCTAACTCTTTAGCTGGCTAGTGCTAGGGCCCAGTTTTACCATTGATGCACATGAGATTAGTCCCAGTCCAGACTGGGAACAGCAACAACATTACTAGACGGCTGTACGGTCAGTTCCTAAAGGATAAGTCTCTATTTCTCTCTCAGCAGGTAGTAAATCCCCACAGCAGCAGTTCACCAGTTCCAGTGATATTGCAACTCGCCATGCAGTAACACAAAGCGATTAGTCCACTCTCTGCACTGCACCCAGGTAACTCTGGCTGTCAGCACACCTGGACTCAGCAATCCAGATCTTGCTCAAAACGCCATTATGCAGCAGTGGTGGTGCACACTGGATAGTGATGTGCACTCTCCAGCCTCCCATATGGCAAAAAGAAGCTGTGTCCTATATAGATTGTGTACATGCAGCTCTTTCCCCTCCTCCTGGCAACTGTTAGGTACCAACTGGTGGTAGCCTCTAGCGTTCCACAGACCGGAATCCCCCAAGGCGCAGAATCTAAGTCCCAACCTGCTTGTTCACCAGGGCCCTTGATGTTGGGGATGGACTTGGAGCAGGCCGAGACCAGGTCGTGGCCCCTGGGTTCACCCAGCTGTGGTAGAAGCACCACTGGAGGTATATAGCAGGTGAGAGCCTGATGTGAGGAGGTAACAAGAGCAGCGTCGGGCAGGCCGGGTCGGTAACGGTGGAGGCAGAGTGGTACAAAATCAGTAGGCAGAAGGATAAACAGGTCACAAGCCGGGTTCGGTAACAGGAGATCAGAACCGCAGGGTTAAGCAGGAGAATGGTCAGACAAGCCAGGGATCAGAACAGGAGACAGACAGCAAATCAGGGTCAGGCAGGGTCGGCAACAAGGCAATCTACAATACAGAAACTCAGGATACAGGTAAGACCATACGGCAACTAGACACAGCCCTGACCTGTTTTAAATAGGGCGCCCTGATTGGTGCCAGGGCGCGCGTCCGTGAGTGCGCATGCGCGAGCGCTACTGCAATCGCGGGTGCCCAGGTCCCAATGCTCGCACACTAGTGCAGCCGGACACACCGTGCAAACCCGTGCGCGATCGCGGCCAGCTCTGGGGTCCTTGACAGCAACCTCTCTCTGGGAAATTCAGTTCAAAAGTTCTTCATTACAATAGATTGTCTCTCTCTCCTTAGGACTACAGTTTCCATAGTACAGTGCTGTCTGACTCAGTCTTTTGAACTCTTGCAGCTCAGCAGCTCCTTCCTCTTGCTATTATAGTTGTTAATCTGTTCAGCACTGCAGTGAAGAAGCTACAGTGAACAGCTGCAGCCAGTGTTTCTCTCACTCTCCAGTCTTAGCCAAGCACCTGGCTACACTAGATTTTAAAAGATTTGTCAATAATTTTTTTTTTTTTTTTTATGGTTTTACATGTGTGGATACATTGAATGCCTGGAAACTCCCTGTCTTTTATGTCACTAATGCCTCTATATTGGTCCAGACCTTTCACATGGAATCAGTGGGGAAATAGGGAAAAGGAAGTACTTGCTACCTTCATGGTGAAAAAGGAAAGGCCCCGTTTAAGAATTCACTTATAAGCCTACCATGTAAGAATGCTATTTGTCTGGAAGTGTTCTTATTAGAAAGCTTTATTTGCAGGAGTTTCTCTGAAAGTGTTGTTTAAAATATCTCTATGTATACTTAGAGGTATATTTATAAACAAAATGCAGAATGTGTTTTTGCCCAGTGAAACCATGTGTACAATGCTTCTGTGCAAAAGGCAGGCAATAATTAATGCTATTAGGCTATTTTCTCTCTAGGTTAAATGTTATTCATCATGTAGAATATAGTAAATCAGGAAAATACTACATTATGACCAGTAGGTGGAGCTGATGATCATAGTAAATCAGTAATTCTTTCCTATGAACATCATCTCCATCTAGTGGCCACAGTGCAGTATTTTCCAGAACAACTTTATTTTTTATTGAAACATATTAACACATTCAACCAGGAGAGAAAAGATTATTAACCTTAAACAATTAACATTTGATTTTGTCTCCATTCGCACAGGACAAATGTACATGCAGTTTCACGGGACAAATAGCTCTGCCAATTATTTTTTTACATGCACCCTTTAGTATTTCAGTTAATTTGTTATACCCCTCAAATCACCTAATCATGGACCAATCATCTGCTCTAGACATTTATATTTGATGTTGCCTGTGAACTTTGCTAGACATCTACAGCAGAATATGTGGCAGTTCAGGACAGGGGCATATTCTGAAGCTATGAACCTGGCACCTAATTATGTTTTCAACATGCACACAGTTAGTATATATATATATATATATATATATATATATACTGTATATCAGGGCTTGAAATTTCCACTTGCCTGCTCGCCAATGACGAGTGGAAATTATGGTGGGGGCGAGTGTGTCCCCCAGGGCCGTCTTGCTGAGCAGGCTCGGAGCTCAGGCCGGATCTGTCATTGGCACTGGGAGCCGTCAGACTGCTCAATAGCTGAGCGCAGTGAAAGCAAAGCAAGGAGTGTGTGCTGTGCTCTCTGCCTCCCCCTAGAGTGCAGTTCCCGGATCTGTGAGTGAGCAACGAAGTACTGCAACTTTTTATGGGGGGGGTGGTGTATTTGTGTGTGTCTGTGTATGCATGTACAATTTTACATGTATCTGTGTGTATGTACATGTGTGTATCTGTACATATGTATGTGTGTGTCTACATGTGTCTGTGTGTGTGTGCATGTACATGTGTGTGTGTGTGTCTGTGTGTATCTATGTACATGTGTCTGTGTGTACATATGTCTGTGTATGTATGTACATGTGTCTGTGTATGTATGTACATGTGCCTGTGTGTATGTACATGTGTCTGTGTATGTATGTACATGTGTCTGTGTGTATGTACATGTGTCTGTGCGTGTGTATTTCTGTGTATTGTGTCCACAGTAGCATTTGCATAGGCAGAGCAGAGTAGGACTGGCCATAGAGGGATTACTTTGACGCAGTTGGCCAGCTTAGGCATGTATTGCAATATGTGTTAACTAATTATCCCTATTTATTGCATAGTCTGCTTGAAAGGGTATATACCAGTGTGCAGAGGGTCCTTCAGAATTTTCTGTATTTCTGTGTATGTACATGTATCTGTGTGTATGCGTGTCTGTACATGCCTGTGTGTGTATACATGTGTCTGTATGTGTGTGTGTGTACATGTGTCTCTGTGCGTGTGTGTACATGTTTCTGTGTGTGTGTGTATGTACATGTCTGTGTGTGTGTACAGGTGTCTCTGTATGTGTGTGTTTGTTGGTGGCGAGTAACTCTAAGGCCTGGCTAGTAGCTCAGGACTTGAAATTTTAAGCCCTGCAGTGTATATATATATATATATATATATATATATATATACAGAATATGTAGTGCTCAGAATAAATGAGTATTCTTTTGAAAAGAAAGATTTTAATCAATATCTCGATAAACACAAGAACAATTTCCAAACTTTTGACAAAACATTTGTTTAGCTCATTAAATAAAAGTAAGGTAAATAATATAACTTAGGTTACAAAAGATCAGTTTACTCAAATTAGTTGATGCAAAAACGAATACACCCCACAACAAAAACTACTACATCTAGCATTTTGTATGACATCCATGATTTGTAAGGACAGCACCAAGTCTTCTAGGCATGGAATGAACAATTTGGTAACATATTGTAACATCTATCTTTTTCCATTCTTCAAGAAGGACCTCTCTTAGAGCCTGGATGCTGCATGGAGAGTAATGCTCAACTTGTCTCTTCAGAATTCCCCATAGGTGTTTGACTGGGTTCAGATCAGTTTATGATACCATCAATGAAATGCAACTCCCCCCACACCAGCAGCACTCATGCAGCCCCACAGAAGGACACTACCTTGTTTTACCGTAAGCACCATGGATTTTTCTTTGTACTTCTCACTTTTGTGACACCATACAGTTTTGAAGCCATGAGTTCCAAAAACATTTAATTTGGTCTCATCACTCCAGAGTACAGCGTCCCAGTAGACTTATTATTTTTCAGCTTGGGCCTTGGCAAATTCTAGGCGGGCTTTTTTGTGCATGGACGTTAGGAGAGGTTTCCTTTGTGGATGACACCTATGCATGCCATTCCTCTACAGTGTATGCCGTAATGCGTCACGGGAAACAATCACCCCAGTTGGGCCTTCTACTTCTTTAGCCAACTGCAGTGAACTTGCATGGCAACTTTCTTCAACCCTTCTCATCAGAAGATGTTCCTGTCAAGGTGTTAACTTCAGTGCATGGCCTGGACATCACTGTGAGATGGTTGCAGTTCTGTCGCTGTAAAATGTTTGTATCGCTTTTGCTTCAATATTCTGACTGATAAGTAAAGCTTTGCTGATCTTCTTGTAGCCTTCATTTTTCTTGCGTAAAGAAATTATTTTCTTTCTCAGGCCTTGTGACGTTTCTCTTCCATGTGGTGCCATTGCTGACAGCAAGACTTTCATTGGGGTGCATTCATTTTTGCAACATGGTCTTGAATGAATTTGTTAGCAAGAATACTTTTTTGTGCGTGCAAATTAGAAAATCCTGTTTGCAATCAATGGCCCACATTTGTGGGTGTATTTTGTAGTATAGAGTCACAGAAAATGTTGATTCTGAAAGTAAAGTAAAGGTTTTCTGACAAATCTGTTGGGGTGTCCTCATTTATGCTGAGCACTGTATGCAAGCAAAATTGATGTTTGCTACCTTGGAATAGCTTGCTCTGAGATAAAAACCATATAAGAACAGGATGATGTGAAGTCTTATCTAAACACAGTAGTACAGTAGAAGCTATTACCAAAAGTAGTTAAATTGGAGGCAAAGTTGTTTTAATACATTTATTCTTGTAACATTATTGTTGTTTTCTGCATTACTGCTCATTTTAATTAGGAGAGGTTAAGCATTAAATCTGACTAGCTTAGAAATCAACAGAAATAAAATGCAAAGCAGAGAACAAACTCTAACTGGACAGTTAATTGTAGAGGCTTGTTCTGTAATTATTTTTGCTGTTTTGGTTATCTTCATTCCGCAGTGACTGGTCCGACTCTAATGTAAAAAACACCATGATTATTCCTTCTGAAAAAATAATGATGAATGTTATTTTGCTGTGTGCTGTACCATAATTACATCTATATTCACTCTCAGGGCCTATTTCCATGACAAATTATGCCCTTGTGGTGGACCAATTGTGTACAATTTTTCAGCGAAAGAGGTGGCATAGCTCAGTGGGACAACAATTAGAGCTGTGGACTTCTGACGGTTGGAGTTTGGGGATGAATGAAGTGAGAAAATAACTCTGACTTTTTATGATAATGTCTTAAGAAGAAGAGAATAATTTTCTCTTGCCTGGAATCAAGATGCATAGCAAAAAGGAAAATCAGTGCATACAAATGAAGAAAATATAGATGCCGCGCTCTATCAATACCTATTGCCTGTATATAGTATAAGAACTGTATTTACATTAAATCTCTAATAGCTGCATGATCTCTTATGTGTAACCATACATGATTGTAATACCAATCAATACCCAAACATGTGTTAATAGTGAATAAATGAATTAGGAAAATATATATCAAAATTGGTGAAAAAAAAAAATATATATGTATATATAATAAAAGTCTGTACAAAATTATTCAAATATGTGTCCTTCGATGATTAAATAAATAATCCAATTAATAAATTGAAAAATATAAAAAATGAATAAAAGGTGAAATTCCATAAATATTGTGCAAAAACACAAAACAAACTTGGTGCAGAGTTCAGCAAGGATGAAATATCTATGTGCTCTCCTTCCAATCAGCCTGAGGTGATGCAGGGGAAGGTTGCAGATAGAGGGCTACTATGTAAGCCTGGATGGTCATATGGATCTCTCCCTCCTCAGATCTTTCCTTGATCCAGCCCTTTAGACATTCCTCATACAGATCATGTAAATAGAGAAAAGTACATAGTGCTTTATCGTTGATAAAAATAAACACACTTTAATTTGTGCTCAATAGGCACTCACATTAATTAAAAACAATCTGCACTTTGTATAATAGCCGCTTAAAGCGGTGAAGACCAGCCTCTCAGGTGTGCTCGCATGCACTACCAGTGCTCGCCGTGTAAGGATGCGTGGTGATGTCACTGCCCCTCCCCAACGCGTATCTCCACAGGGATTTGTGGCTTTGTCCGGGGGATGTAGTACACATAATGTATGGTGTATGGTTACACATAAGAGATCATGCAGCTATTAGAGATTTAATGTAAATACAGTTCTTATACTATATACAGGCAATAGGTATTGATAGAGCGCGGCATCTATATTTTCTTCATTTGTATGCACTGATAACTCACATTTATGAGGGTGAGCAAGATAGCCTGCGATCTTATTGATAGAAGCTGTTTATTATACACCTTATTGGCTCACAAGTAAATTTTTAATAAAAAGGAAAATCAGTTTATAAAGATCTGAGAACAGATTTTTGTGCTGAAATCAACAAGTCTGTATTTAAATATTTTATATGTACCAGACTTCTAGATTTTTTTCACACAGTAATAATGGTTTCTAAGGGAAAGAGTTCTCAATTTGTCAACATTTGTCAACATCTGTAATTTATGTTTTTTTCATTGTTGACTGGTCATTATTGTACTGTTCACCCATGGCAATCTACTAAGACTGGAGCATAAAGAATCTAGAGCCTCTGTGCAAGCAATCAGCATCTAGCTTTCTTTTTAAGACTTAACTGAACAAGTTGACGATAGATGATGATTAGTTACTATGAACAGCTGCTCCAGATTCTGCCTGCTCCAGTTTTAGTAAATTCTCCCCATCATGTTTTAAGACAATGGCTGTCGCATTCTCAACATATTTTCCAAAAACACCTACTTAGTTAGCACATGTATCCATAGTAGGGTTGAACTTCAAGTTTGGGTCGATGAAGAGTTCTACCCAAACTGTAGGTGTTTGATATTCTCTGGGCAAGCAAACAAAGAGGCCAGATTAGAAGTGATAGAAGTGATTCATTTAGTGGTGAAATTACTGTAATGGAGTCATTCCTTATTCATCTTGTCCAGCAGTGGGTGCAAGCTCCTTTCAATCTTTTTCCCATGATTTAGTGGGCTCCCAAAATCCCCTGGGCTCCCAAAATCCCCAGTTCTCCTGGACACACCCATGGGATACAAATTCCACTGTTTTCCACTCTCAGGTGATCAGAGAGAAAGCGCCTTATGTAACAGCAGCAACTGGGAATGTTAGGTGTCACCAGGTGGAGGTCCTCCTTGGTTCTTCCCAACATGCAGGCCACCAGATAAGTGCACATGAGAATGCAGGTTCATCTAAAGACCTATTCACTGTGGAGGGCACTGTGTTTGCTGGCCCTAGAGTACTACCATTCCAGTGGTGCAGACCTATGTTTTCAGCCACCTTCTTTTTCACCAATCCTTGGGATTACTGCCACTACCTGGATATCCAGATCAGAGACTCCTTTGCCTGCATTCTGTGCAGTCTCTCAGGAGCTTTCTGTGATTGACTTCCTGAAATATCAGTTACAGACATTCTTCTTGTGTGAGAATGTTACATCCCAGTGAACTGTATAAAACTATTTGCATTAGACTGAACTTCTCTATTATTAAATATTTTTTCTTACACTGTTCTCTGAGATACTATTTTCTGTATTGTTCTACACTACCCCTAGGCACCCTATACTACAATAGTTTCACTGTCTGTTATGATTTGTCTTGTGCTTGTTGCATACCTCTTTTATCACCATTGGCAATTTATCTTTTACTGCAAATT